GTTGAGCTTCATAAACGACAAAGAATTCAGAAAATTTTTTGAAAATATTGAGGAGTTGAAAGATTAAATCAGGAGAGCCTGAATGGCTATCACTACACAGATGTTAGAGAACTGCCACAAGCACACAACTTCTAGAGCAAGTATTTGTTTCAGAAATGACGAAAGACAATTTGAACATTTAATGCGATATCGCGTGAGACGGTAACTTAAAAAATGTAACGTGAGGCATTCCATTATGATATTCATTATCTACGATTTATTATTTCGTCACATTCTCTTTCGCAACTGTTTCTGCTTTAATGAGGTGTATTATGATACAGGGTGAGTCAACAAGATTCCCTCGGTCCATTGCTATCAGGGAAAACAATTTTTTAAATTGCTCAATTTGTTTCGCAGTCATATCGATAAATACTATAATTGAGCAGATAATATTTTTTTAATTTACCACCTGCATATCCACAGCAATTGAGTGGATTTTTTAGGAATAGTTAGTCAACATCAATATGATAATTTTGGAAATATCAACTTTCGGAAACAAAATATAGGGTGCTCGGTGAAGACGGTTAAGTTTCATTCATTTTCAAACAGATATAATTCAACTTTTTCAAATGGAACACCCTGTATTCTTTCATTTGTATGAAATGTTTCGGTATTATCGCTACATTTTCTACTGGAGGTATACTATCGAAAAAACAGATATTTTACTAATTATACCCCAGACAGCACCAGATATTCATGGAATATTCCCTCTATTCTCTCTCTATTCCATTCCCTCTATTGTCTCGTGAATGTTCTAGGAATATTGTCGATGGAATATACCATATGTTATATTTGGGGAGGTTTAGAGCAAACCGAATAAATCCACCAAAAACGATTTTTCTGTAACGCGAAAAGTAGTAATTTTTCAATTTTTCTTGATAGCAAACACTATTATAGAAATCATGATAAAACTTTTGCTATAATATAAATTTAAAAAAGTAATTTTTAGTACAAAATAAAATATAAACAAAAATGGATTTATTTGGTTTTGCTTGAAATAACTGGGTTCATTTGATTTTGCTCACAACTTTATTAGCAAAAATTAACAAAAGTGTTATTCTTACTACTAATACAAACAGAAACATTATGGCACTTAGTTTACTAACAGCAAAGCGAACGGTGCATTTAAAGATGAAGTGCAAACTCTTCTTCTAAACAGTCACACTCATTTCTTAGCTCTTCTTCTTCTTCCTGAGTTACATCCTCACTATGTTCAACTTGATTATTTTCACGTTACAGATTCTTGTACCACAAAAAAGTGTCGCCTCCTTTAAAAATTGCTTTTCCATAAGCTGCTGAACACTTTTTATCTTCTTTGGTGGAATGGCACTTCGCAGGTTGACCTCAGATAGTACAAAGTTTTTTAAAGATTTTCCCCTTTTAAAAATTGGGCGCTTAACTTCGGATTGTGCTTCAAACCGATAATGCTGAAAGCATGCAAGTGAAATTTTAATTTCTTTAGTTTTTTAAATCCGAGTCTTTTCCAACGAGATTCTTTTTAGTCTGATATCCAACCATCTTGTTACTTTAATTTTGTAATTCCTTACTGTCAAAAATCTTCCAGTCTTGTCCTAAGACTTTTGCACTTCCGACTTGTGCATAATGACCAATATATTCTTCTTTAGAAACAATGGGTTGTTTCTACATATCTCTTCAACTCGCCCAAAACTCTATCTACTGGCATAAAACTGTGGCCTCTTACTGGGTAGGTGATACAAACTTTTGTGATATTTTCAGCTATAATATCCCAAGGACATTGATAACTAACGAAATAATTTTATCACAGTTTTCGAAAGCACGTTATTTGGTAACATCCCGACGCCGAAGGCGGAGGGATGTTACCTAAAAATGACATAAGTGATAACTACCCGTGAAAACTATCCATGGGTAGTTATCAGTGAAATGATGGTTTCATTGGTTATTTCGACACACATAACTAGAAATAGACAAATTTGATAGGATAATTTTTTTGGCAAAAAATTTTCAGGAGAATAATTTAACAGCCAAAACATTAACATATGAATCAAATGTGAATTTCTGTTCTGGCCCATCCATCGCAGAACAATCTAATCTGGGTTATAGTATCAAGTTCCAAGGATTTTAGGTAATCGAACGAAGCAGATGACACTTCTGCAGCGCCCCTTCCAGTCTGATCTTCACTCCAAATATAAAACGTTGGATTTTTGGAGTTCACACCAACACAGCAAAAGGAATAGACGCTTATTTGGTGCGAATAAAATGCATCGGAAATTGGCGTGAGCGGTAAGGGTTGAACCTGCTGCAGGTCAAAGCAGAATTTCAGGGAATTTTCTGGCTCTCGCTTACAAAGCTCGTAAAAGGCTTTTGCTCTTCTTTTATGAACTTGATATTCAGTCATATACTTGGTTTTCTCTCTTTGGTCTTTTTAAAGATTCAATTAAATGCTTTAGACGCGTGCATTGGGAACAGGTATCAGAAGCCGGGGACGAAAATCCAATATTGAATTTTGTTAGAAAAACCTTCCTAAACATGTGGTAGCCAACTTGATACTTACTATCAGCCTGTTAATTAAACATACGTTGTAACTTTTTAATGCTTAGATGGGCAGGTAAATAAACCCTTTGAGATTTTTTCCGATTATAATGACTTTCAGTTTCACGCAATTTACCAATGAATTCGCGTACTCTCTCTCTCTTGTCCAAACTTTTTGTTGAAATATGATCACCTCCTTTTCGCTCTCTACGACAGTCCCCTGATTCGACAATCTTACATACGGTAAACAACCTGTAGTTTTCAACACCTGTTGCTGCCATAAAAAAATTCCTGCACACTTTCACTGCCTCTGATCTTTTCTTTTTAATAATTGTTAAAAATAAGTTTGCAGCCCTTGTTCTTTCTCGAGGATTATCTTTAACAGACCTCTTCCTTACTGTACCGGAAACGCTTATCAAATGACAAAGTTTTACATCTTGAATATTTTTGTTTGGTACGCTATACAGCTTGCTTCTTACATTTTTAATATCTGATATTTTAACATTTTGGCATTGGTATGTTTTATTATTGTCATGTGGGCAAGGACGTTTAAATTTTTTTAGGTCTGGATCTGGATCTTAATGTCTGAAATGAAATAAATAAGGTTTACCAAAATGTAATTGCCTTAGAACTTAAAAATTTCAAAACTTTAAAACTTTATTGTAAATCAAGAAACAATATTTAAGATTTATAAAAGATAAGACCCTAGTGCAGTCGAGTAATAGATAACAAAAAATGCTACCTTTTAAGTAACTATGCCAAAATAACCTATTATACTAATCTAAAATCATACCTAATCTTACCTTTCATGTTTTTCTCTTAGCTTTTTCGAGGCTTTTTTCCTTATTCTGCTCCCTTGATTGGCTTCTTCCACAGCTACTGAATCTCCCAAAAAATCTGCTTCCATATTTTTTATTTAGTACCTATTACTGCAGCTTGTATTTTATTTTATTCAAAAACTACTAAAAGAACAGTATCAATATGCCCAAAAGAAAAAGGAGTGGTAATGCGTACTTTTCATCAACGGGAAAGCAAGTTGCTCTCCAGGTCATAAAAAGTTGTAAATGTTCATGAGGAACCTATGAGGAAAATATCTATTTGATTTTCATTCCAATTTTGTTTTGCCAAATAGTGATAATGGGTTCCAGGTATTAATAATGAAAGACTGGTTGATGCATTATTGTACAAAAACCAGGAAAATTCTTAAAATTCTTCTGGTGAGCAAAGTTTGGATAACTTTAAGTAAGTGAAATTCATTGAAGAGCCCATCATACCACTCATTTAAAATACTTTATTTGTGGGTTCAGTTTTTGAAGTAAGAAACCTATATCTTGCACATTTATTCATGTAATACATTTTTTCTTTTCCAATGACATCATATATTTATTATTTTTTTCAATTAGTGCTGATGAATTCACAAAAATCAAGTCATTTAATACAACAGGAATGAAGCCAGGCCCACCACCAGTTGAATAAATTCGTAGACAAAACAATTCTGTAGAATCTGCTTTGAAGACAACAATGGGTCTTCCAACAGGGACTTCCCAACTTTGACAATTGAAAACGGCCATCTTGTTAAAGCTACATCTGTCAAATTAGTTATCATTTATTCAGTTTGTTTTGCCGAATCACCAGGGACGGATATAGCATTCTACAACACGAGCAAATTGTTTTATCAAAATGTGTGCACCCATAAAACAAGCTGTGCAACATATAAGTACCCATAAAACAAGCTGCGCAACATATAAGTACCCATAAAACAAGCTGCGCAACATATAAGTACCCATAAAACAAGCTGCGCAACAGCTATGTAGTACTTGATGCAATACAGTGGATAAAAAGTAAATTATAAGAATAATACAATTTCAAAGTAAGATGATGAGTAGACTTTTGAAGAAAAATTAAAATGTATAACAATATGAACTAATATAATTCTTAGAGGCAAGTAACACTAGACACGATACAACAACACAAGCAGAGAGTATTAGATGGCTAGGTGAAGAATATGGTTTTTAGAGCCTAAAGCTGATATATTAAAGATTTGAAAGTTGTTTAAAGAGTTAGTCAATCAAAGAGTTCTGGGAATGTTATATTCCACACATAATGACATTAATAGAGTTTCAAGTGAATAACACATTACGATGATATCTCTCTCACACACTTTGTTTTATTTAAATTTGAAGATAGGAAGTGCTCAATGAAAGATCCTTTAGAATACTTCGTCATCGCCCTTGATAATGTCTTGTGCAGCCTTAGATGAAACTTCAGGCATTAAAACCTGCCGACCACGACCAACAAACCCGGAAAAAACCCTTCCTTGAAAATTAATCAAAGCTATATAAAATTTTAACCGTTCATTTTTTTTTCTAATTGCAGGTGAGAGCACAGCTGAATGGTGCAAAGCAGGAAAGAGATCACTATCGACTCATGACAAATAAACTGAGGGAAGAGTCGGGCCTCTTAACTGAACCAGAACTTCTTCGGGACATGGAAAGTTCAATGAAGGAACTGAAAACCGTTTCTGTTGAATTGGAGAACTTGAAAGAAGAAAATACAAAGAAAGCACAACAAATCAGGAATATAAGAAGAAATCTGGAGTTCACCGCCGATGATACAGGACTGAGAAAAAAATCTATCAAAGAAATTGTGCCCAAATCTGTTTCGAAACAACATCTGTATAAGGGAAGACCTAGTTTGTGCATGCCTACATTACCACATGATGCTTTTGATTATTTGAAAGATTTTAGACCCAAAGTGAGAATGATGAAAAATAAAAAGAAATAATTTTGTAGGCTTACCTTTTTTCCAATGCTGTCTGGGTATAAAAGAAAGTTTTTAACTTGCTCTTCTTTAGTAACTACTCCGTCATCCAGAATTGTCAGGGAGTTTATTCCGGAGAGGAGAATGTTCTTGGCAATCTCGGATCCCAAGGCTCTGATTCCAATGAGAAGAACATTTGATGCTCTCAGCCTATTGAAACAATTGAAATTAAAAAAAAAATTGCTAAAAACTCAGGTGAAATAAATTCATATAAATACTCTGCTTCAAACACACCTGAAGAAATTATAATACAGTAAACTATTTTGTAAAAATCTCACAGCTGAATATTATTGAATGTGTTTCACATATTTCCATCAAACATCGGCCAATGTCATATTCAAATCAACATTTCTATCTACAATACTTTGTAGCTTATTACTTGCAGTTAAAGTAAGATAATCAATGCTTGACAATCTGAAACATATTGAGAATGACGATTGAATAAAATCGGTCTAGCTGACTATTTCAAAGATGAAACCACTCCTAAAGCCATTCAACATTCATATGAGAAGTACAAAGCAAAAGAGATGAGTAATCCATTATGATCATCAAGTTTCATACATATCAAACATTTGTTTAAACTCTTATAAGTCCAAAGGTTATTAACATTGAAATATTTGTGGACAGTTCAAAATGTAATATGGACTGTAGAAAAGGGGACGGTGTAATATTTTCATTGGTGTATCAACCTTTGGATTAATCCAAACGTCTTCAGATGAAATAGTCTACTTAATCTCCTTCAAGTTACATACATATCAAACATTTGTTTAAAAAGAATGAAAAAGCTTGTTAAAAATGTTTATCACCAAAAGTTTAAAAAAGTAGAATATTGACAGTAACTTTATTTGACTTTTTCAACAAAAAATTTTTGAAATTGAATGGAACTGGCCGATACTTGATTGACATCTATATCAAAACTGAATACTTATACACTTTACTGTATCAAGGTGAAAGGTTTACATAATTGTTTAGATGTATCGTAGTTTTGTAAACTTATCATAGTGAAAACCACAGTGAACTATTACAATAAGTTTTCAAACATTTTACAAAAAATTGAAATCCCAGGAATTATTAAACGACAAAATAAGGTATGAATCTAATTAGGATAACTACAAATATACTTGTTGAATTTTCTAGTGAAAACGAAAGCACTCCATTTGACATTGTATACTATAATATTGTATCACTTAAGTTTTGAAATTATGATTTATTAGTGAATTTTTGAGCTGTCGATATATCACAGCATTATGTAAACACTAAATTTTCACAGATTTTCTGTTTGAATCTCCACTGCCCTCATTTTGCACTGTTGAATTTTTAAACAGTAGTGAAATGTAGTTATAAAAATAATACCATATATACCATATTTTTGACGATTGGTGTCACTAAATCAAGTTTATGCCAACATTTCTTGATAATGCAGAAGTTATTTCTTTTTTTTTTCACCAAAAATTAAAATATTGTAGTGTCAACCGATGGGCAGTTTTATCTTAAACAATTACTATATTTGAGTAAATTGATATTTATGATAAGGTTTATACAAGTAAATATAATTGAAGCAGCATACATATTTCCCTGATATTGATATGCATTTCTTACTTCACAGTATTTCAAGTTATTTGATTTGGCATCGGCTAACCAAATGTTATCCTGAATTTTTAGATTCACTAACTGGTAAAAGATTGAAGTTCCTTTATATTCTACTTATTCAAATTACCACTTACTTTTCTTGAGATTCTATTCCCCACAACCGTATTTGTCTATCATATAGTTCCGCTTCAACTGCCGATAATTGATTTCCTATGTTTTCGCCCATTTTTTGATAATATGAAATTAAACTATTTAGAAGTACTGAATTTTATAGTTTTTCCTAACTTTCAGTTTCAGGCGGCCTTTTCAGAAATAACCAAAAAAATATTGGACGCAAGCGTTGATAAATGTAAACAGACTTCATAACCTAACAGTGATTCTGTCAAAAATGTTATTGATGTCACGTTTTGTTGTCTGGGTCACAAATGATAGACCGAATAATTCTGTTCGCTTCCTCTGTATTGCGCCCATTTCAATTATTATCAAGGGGTCTCGGCATAGAATGAACCTTAAGATACAGAATTTTCCCTCCCTCACAAATATTGGTTGAAGTTTTATTTTTTGCATTCAGGGACGAGACCTGACAACTGTTTCGACTTTTATAATACATATATCACTAATTAACCTAATTAACCAGTTTCCAGTCTTGAATTTCTTCATATCTGCAGAACTCAGGGTTTATCCATTGATAATGGTTCATAATCTTTGATTTGATATTACATTTTTTTGCAACACTGATTAAAATAATTTTGGCACTTCGTAACCCTGCGTTGGCAATTATATACACAGAAAATGTTTCAGCCATTTAGACATCATTCGAGCTCAGTGGTATGCTTGCTGGTTTGGTCTGTACCCGACTTAAGTTCAACGACAGTGATATCTATGTGTTACCTTTCTCCCTTTAGACAGGCTCGGCTATGGTCATTAACACAGTTTTGACAATAATATAACATGGTTACATTTTCATCCATCGATTGATCGTATTTGTCCTGTTTCAAGCAATACTACCACCTATATTTTCCTTATTTCCTCATTGCTATATTTACTTCATCACACATTACATATCGCGATCGGAGAGGAAGTTCTACCTCCCTTCATTTTGTCAGCTCAACCTGGATTACACTGACCGTCTTGAGCTTGAGTTCAATCGGGATGGAGCCCAGCTCCCTTACCCTTTCGGCCGAATTTTGTCGAAGAAGGACAAATGGGTTCATGACTGAGGGGATGACGGTATGAAGTCCTCAGACATCATGGTCTGTGCAGACATCAGTACCGCCCTTCACGGGATACCCCTATCTGGCTGGAGTGGGATGGATGAAACAGCTATTCGTCCGTTAACGGGGGACATGAGGGCCTCATTCGACAGAGTGTCGGGGCCTTCTATATCGGGAGAGGTCGTCTACAGCATAGTCTATAGCTTCCCTAACTAACACAACCTGGATTATTTTGCAGAATAGAGATTTAACCATCCTGAGAAAATTCCGCTATCCTTGATATGTCATTTTCCACACATTTAACATCTGCAATGACAGTTGGCAGATGAAATGAGTGGCAAGTGGCAAGCAATGAGGGCAACATAGAATGTAGTTTACAGTTTGAGTTTACCTTATTTGAATTTATTTGAGGTTGAGGCCGGTGGCCGATGTTCTGTTTTGTGTGGGTATTATTTGGAACCTTGACAAATTAAATAGTTTTATATTATTTCACCTATTTGCTGTGAGCTGTGACTGATCTGCGATCCTTGTATTTTACCCGGCATAAAACTTTGCGAAAGGCATCCATTTAAATTATTATTATTTTACAGAGTAGTTTGTACAATATACTAACAAAAAATGAATGACAATTGTTCTGGTGTCTCTGATTATTCAGAAGCTGGTGTATCTATTGATAATGAAGAAGATGGTGAGTCCTGTAAACTTTTTGTTTTTCTTTCTAACATTTAAGTAGTACCTATCATTTTTATCTCTTGTGAATCTTGTAATGGCTATGCCCTCTTTATGCAGCTGAAGTTTAGCTGTTTGTAGTAGGTATGTAGATAAGATTCAAAAACATATGTTCAAAAAATAATATTTTTGAACTTTCCACCTGTTGCGTGCTATTGGACCCTGAATAAAATCAAAACAGAAAAACTAAACCTGGTCTGAACTTTTGAAAGTCTGCATGCCAATCTTGGTTTTGAACTTTATTCAAACTCTAAAACAACTTTTGGTTTCGCCACTGTAAGAGTTTTTGTATATTTCGGTGGTACATTCCATTGAATTCAAGAATAAAAACTTCAATCTGGAAAACAGTGAAAAGTTCAGTAAATTTTTCAAAGTATGCTTCACACACTATTGAATATTCCACTGTCAGCAAGTAATTTTCATAGAGAACTGAGTTTCATCAAACAAATAGCTGTCAGCAAAGGTTCAAAGGTAGATATTATTGACTAGAATAATATCCCTCGTGTTTTGAAAAAGAAAGGCCTAGACATGGCTGGAACAAATGATAACGGAAGCAAATTTATAAAGAACAAAAACAAAACTTCATCAGGAGAAAATAAGTTGACTTGTGGTTCTTGCCCAAAACTTTATATTGGCCAAACTGAGAGAATCTTTTTTTTAAAGAATAAAAGAGCATAGAAGCATTTTTTGAATGTGAATACTAATTCCACATTTGCAAACCATTTAATTGATAGAGGAACATGAGTTCAATCATGACTATGACATGTTATATTTGGAATGCTTGGAAATCAATAGATTTGAGAATTCGGAACATTTACTGTGTCTAAAATCTGTTTAAAATCTATTTTTCCGTTAACCAGCTGTCGCATCCTTACGAACAACTCTCAAAAGTCGAAACTTGCACGAGCTAAGGACTAATGAAGTCTTATCTTTTAACTTATGATTCCTAGCACGGTGTCATCTAGCATGTTGTCACCTAATATAATTGAATAATTTCCTTGTTTACTAATGTTGAAATTAGTAATTAGTTGATTTGTAAACTTAGATAATTTGATTCTATTACATGTTCATTTAAATAATTTTGTGAAATTTCTTTTCTAACTTTTAAGTTGTCATCAAGGAGGTAGAAAGTCACTTACTTCAAATTCCTAATTTATATGAAGCACTAAGTAAGTAGAATGTAGAGTTACTATGAATTGAGTTAGTATGAAGATGCTGTTCTATAGTGAAACACTTCTTGCTGCTCTGTAAACTGTTTAGTGGAAATCTAAACAATAAAGTGTTACTTGAAAACGTTATAGATTCATTAAGTATCCGACAATTGCATATATATGGCTTTTTACTTCCCTATTAATATATAAGTGAAAGTTGGGAGAAAAAAAAATATTAAACAAAAAAATATAATAAAAATTGTTGATAAAGTATGTAGATTATACACAGAATTTACTTTCGGATAAAAAGAAAAAATTTATCTGAAAAGATACAGTTGACAGTTTATCTATTGAAAAGTTAGTGCATAAGTATTTTATGGATCACAAAATATACATTTTCAGCCTGTTTACATATTTAATTAAAAAAATAACCGGATGCTATTTCTGTTTTCTTTATTTATCTTTGTAAATCAATGAAATTGAAATTTCATTATTGATCATGATTTTATTTAATTTTTTCTTATTCTTTGAATTCGTTTTCAGAAAGGTATCGACCTCATCTCATATCGCCATCTACATATATGATACTTGTGGAACAAATACTAACTCTAATGCCTAGTCAAAGACATGTCATTCTGATCATGAATGAGTACCCTATGAACGAAATCAATCCAGAACATCCGAATACTCCTGAGTCACCTACTGACGTGATTATTTTTTGTATAAGATTCATCGCAGAAAATATATTTCAACCTATCGGAGGTTTGCTTGTTTACAAGCATTTGGACCAGAGTGCCATTTTGGCAGAGTGTGTGAAAGCTTACATAACTGACTTATGGAAGTTAGGACTATTCGTGGTGGCAACTGTTTCACCAGCGTTTAAAGTTTTTAAAGCTATAATGAGCTGCATTGCTGACGTGAGTATTGATGTAGATGAATAATTAAGGTAAAATATATCTACAATAGTTAATATAATAAAATAAGTTGACTTCATGAATTTGATATTACCTTATTTCATTTGTTTTGTGGTTATGATCAATTATACATACTACCATACAGGCTTGATTCTCATTATTCTTTTTACAATACAGGAGCACTATGTAATTAAAATCAACTTGAATATCTGTTTGGAGTACATTTTGGGAACCAAATCGATTTCTGTCTTCACAATCAAATCAACACCTATCAAAAATCATTAATATCTCTGTTTCATTAAGGCAGATCATACATGAATATGTGAGCCGCAATAAACCCTTGCGGGTTGCGGTGGAGGGTCGAATAAATCCACTCACTTTGGACATACATAAACCTTCATCCTGTTGATAATAGTAATAACATGATGACTTGGTTTAGCTTTCGACACTGTGACCTAGTTGGAACTCGTTCAGCAAAAGGCCCACTTAAAAGCTGCAGAGATCACTTACCTTCTGTAGCAGCTCAAGAATAAGCCGACATATGAGGTATTTCAACAACATTGAATGCCTTGGCTTATCAAAGCACTTCAACTTTGCTTTCTTCAGATCGATTGATCTGAAGTCACAAACTAAGGGACTCATCATCTTAGTCCATCATAGTTGCGTGATGGATATAGAGGTTCCAGACATCAGGTGCAAGGACTGAAATCCTATCGAATTTACTAACTGCATATCCAGCATATGCGATCTCAGCCTACATCCATTAGCAAAATGAGTCCTAGGAGTGTTTTGTTGACATTCACCGCACTTTTACTGTATTAACGTGACACTTGTGTTGCTCTATTTACAGTGGGATATTGAATCCATTGTGAGTAATGAGAACTAATGAATTCATTGAAACTATTCATTTTTCATCATAATGCTTATGCAAGCTAATAATCCTGATATAGTTCTTCTCGACATTCAGAGCAAGATGATATTCCCCATAGAGTTTTCAGTTCCAGGTGGGACAAATATTTATTTATTTATTCAACGGGTAGTCCCAATTACAATTTGTTATAAAAAAATAATTTGTAAAATCTTAACTAAATCAAAGATAATAAATTCAATAAATACATAATACAATATAAAACGCAATACAATAATATAGTGATAAAGTATAATAACTAGTATAGACATGCCTCAAGAAGCTAGTCCGTATTGACACATGAACTAACTAGTATAGACACGCCTAAATAAGCTATTGTATAGTGAAACACTTGTTGCGTTTTTGTAATAATGTTTAGTGAAAATCTCACCAAGTGTTTCTTGAATACGTTATAGATTTTCATCAAGTATCAGTCAATTCCATCACATAAATCTATAACTAATACTGAATTTTGAATATACTGAAAATTAAGTAATAATCATGAATAGTGATACTGAATTAGTGGGTATTTGTTTAATTTGTCTTATATCTTCAACTCTCAAGGGTGAAATAAGATGGTGTCAATGGGAGACTGTGCTGGTGGGAACCCATTATGCAAACTTCATCAATATGAACACAGTATATAGATGTTGCTTAATGTGTTAGTCGATAACAGAGAATAACATGTATTTACAAAAATCAACCACTCTAAAAAATACTCTCTTTGATAATATCAAAATAGATGAACCTTTTTTTTGTTTCAGATAGAAGACTTGGACACACATTCATCTATTATATCTTATTCTGTTCATCCTCTCAAAGAAATAATTCACATTTATGACATTCAGTTCCTGCTCATCAAGCTACAGACTCTATTCAAAGAAGGTGATGTGAGGTTTGAAGATGAAAATGTAAATGGAAAGGAAATATTCCAGGCCTCATGGAAAGATATGACGAAGGTTTTTAGTATGTATCCGGAATATAAAATGTTGGCGGAGTTTTTGGCAAATGATGAGCCTGTTTCCCGGAGAGTTCATATTTTCACACAACAAATATATGATCATTTCTTAGACGCAGAGAGACAAGGTATGATTCATTTTGAAAAGTTTATGTTACTGGACAAAACTCAATTCTGAGTGAGAAAAAAAAATGAGGATATACTAATTTGTGTATGTTGCGTTTACTGGCCTGTTTTTCACTTGGTTCTCTTATTTGTTGTTTGATGTTAAAGCTTGATTTTGCTGAATCACTTTTCCAGAAAAAACAATTAAAATAAGGCAGTATCAACTTAATGCGGCTGTCAATCAAATACTCCTGTTGCGCGAGGAATGTTTGCCTACCAAATTAAAAATCTGTTGTTTGAGTCTGGATACCATTAACTTTTTCATTTTAGAAGACTTGTCTGTAAAATCATATCATATAATATACGGGGAAACCTATTGTCAATGGACAATTAGACGTATCTAGAGAACGAAAAGGCGTATTGATATAAAAATTTAATAGGTACTATCAATGAATACCTCTCTATAACTAATGTTGGCTTTTGCCTCTGTTCAGGCGCAGTAACTATGCCTATTTGTAGGAGTAAAAAGTCTTTCTTTCTAAAGAAAGCACCATGTAGATTTCAACATTTTTACTGGTTTATATGTTTATTTTACATAAGAAAGTACTCCGGGGTGGGAGTGGGAATAATGATCAATATTCCGGAAAAGTGCATATGACACGCCCAGGTTCAGATGAAAACAGCTTACCCCTTGCCCTTCATATGTGTGTAGAGTTTTTTCCTGGCTTTGTCTGCAGGTGGCGCAGTAGACATCCCACTGAATCAACTGCAGAAAGATTTCATGACTAGCTGGAATTATATTTGTTTGGTCCCCCATGCAATAATACAGTTAGGAAAGTCATGATAAAACAATTCAACAGATCAGAAAGTAAAAGCACCACTAGATGGGATGTTCTGCACACATTAACCGCGTGGGGAAAATTTCAACTCAGGGCACTCAACCTGGGAAGGAGCAGGGGAGGGTTTGCTTGTGATACTTAGATGGTTCACACCATTCTGAAGAGACCATGCCCGGTACTGATGATGGGGCAAGTACCCAGAAACCGTTCTATCGGTTGGTCGTATTGACCAAACGAAATTAATTTCTGCTTTTCATAGTGGGAAATAACTTGCGAAGAATCTTCCAAATCGAAGACGTTGTACAAGTGCCTGATGGTTTCACTTCAACTCCCTGTATGGCATTAGCTGGGTTAGTTGTTGTTCCGTTGGGTATCTGCCATACGTACCTACAAAATCGTAGGTCTACATGAGAGGCAAGGGGTAAATTATGATTGAGACCAGATATGAAACTTCTTTTGTATCAAAGTTGGAGATAATATGTATAGGGTGTCTTACGGACATTGTTCCTTCAACTCAATGAGATTTTACATATAAATCACTTTAGATTCGATATTTTATTTTAAGTGAACTTTGTTTTAAAACACGCCTATACCTTCCATTCACAGATTCAAAAGATATTCATCCACTGGTACTGTATCTTCTTTTTTTTGTTTTTTTTAGATGGATCTTTACTTTTCAAATGCTTTAGTTTGTTCAGTACAATATGGTAGTAGAAAATCATACGAGTGAAAACGTTTTCATTTTTCAAAAACTCAGTTTTTGTCGAACCATCAAATTAAGTTCTTTTATTGGATTACTGAGTTACTATATTCGATTCAGGAATTTCAAGATAATTTTCAGTAACTTTGGCTCTGCATTTCTAGTTTTGTTTTTAAAAAATTTTTAACAATCCTTGAAATACATTATTATTGCTTGAGCATATATTTTTCATATCTAAGAGAGTGTGTGTATTCTATACATTTAGAGAACTCTTCCAGTATAACTTCCAGAAATGTATAAATTGATTTTCACACCGATCATGGATGCTTTTGGGTTTGTGGGGAAATATGCTGATGTATTTATTACTTCATCCTCATTTTGCACCACTCTAGATGTATAAGTGTTGATTTTCAAAATTTTTCATCTACCTTCTTTGTCTATTCGTTACCTTTCACAATCTGAAAAATATAAAAATTGTACAAGGAAAATTTTATACTCATATAGAAACAGCAAACTGTTTAGAGACAAAATTAACAAAAGTTTATTTTGTTGAAAAATATCGATGAATATCTTTTAAATCTGTGATTGGTAGGTATAGGTATGTACTAACAAAGTGCTCATGAAATAAAATATCGAATCTCATTTGATACAAATGACCCTACAAACAGCATAACAAATTCAATAACCATCAACTCAACAATTACTGACTCAACAACCACCGACACCTTTCACAACTAACTTTATACCTCACATTCCAGGACTATCTGAAAAGATAGATATGATGTTAGAACTTCTCACAATACAACAAATACACTGAAATATTCACTCACACATACAAAACCCAACAACACATAAGAAAAAACAAAAAATTGCATTGAGAATTAACATCGAGATTATATCAGAAATAGACAATTTACAGTATCAAAATTGTCATGTGCATCGAACAAGACAAGAATGATTGCCAATGATCGCCAATCTAAGAGATGTAAACTTAAAGAATCAGCGTTTATTTTCATATCTGGACAGAAGTGTTTTTCTAATAGCTCCTTAGAATTGGATCGTACTTGGCTACCCGTCTTGAAGAAAGATGTGGATAGTGGTAAAATAGCAACAGACTGATATCAGAAAACACCTTGTACTACATCAGATGTTTAAAAAAATCTGAAGACGGAGGCAGATTGTAGCTTTTGAAACGTTAAGATAAGTATTGCTTTTTTTTTACATATCGCGATCGGAGAGNTTTACTCACAAAGTTATTGAATAAACTAAAGAGTTTGCTCTCTGTATACCTGTACAATGTTCTTCATTAAAATTTTTATATTTTTCTGATTGTGGAAGATGAAAAATCCCTTAAAGAAGGTCGACCTTTAGATTTACTATTTTGTAGAATATCAGGGTGATTGACGGTTATTATTGATTATGAAGTGTGGCAATAATGAATGTTGATTTCAAGCAATATTTTGTGAAATGTACCTACAAACCGGCAGACATATAGTGTGAGCAAACTTTTTACAAACAATGTTCTGATTTATCGACGGCGGAGTGTGGGGTTCCTCAGGGCTTGGTACTGGTTCCGTTACTGTTCTTGATCTGCATTGATTGAAACATTTTTCTCCACAATAAAATTATAGGAGAAAATCAGAGAGGCATAGTTAAAGGTTGATGACTAGTTTAACTTCAATATGCTGTGTTTACATAACACTGAAACTGAATTTTTTTTCTATTAGAAATTATGACATGGAGGTGAAGTCAAATGTGAAACTTCAAAAAGTAATGCTTGATTCCTAACTTAGAAGGCCTTATGTGGACTACTTTGCAAAAACTATGCTTTTCCAAACTACACCTAAAGATTTGAACTTCACAAACTTCATTTTCAAAAATATCACAAATTTCGCTATCACAGTAGCTTTTTTGTAATGAATGTTATATACTATGAAAAAGAAAAACATGTGATATTTTGGAAAATAAAGTTCGTAGTAAATGTTATTCATTATGCCAAAGCTTCTGTGATAGCAAAACATGTCATATTATTGAAAATAAAGTTTGTGAAGATAACATACTGTATGTTATTTGTGTATGTAGTTTGTGAAATTTTTTAAACGCTTCATGTAGAACAAATTCTTCAATAGCATTGTATAAAATAACATGAAATTATTGAACAGAAGAATTACCATATTACCAGAGTCAATAAAAAAAATGCATTGCAACTTATCTGTTGAAAAATTTTGGCATAAGTGTTTGTATTGTAATATTATCAAAGGCTCACTATGCACTATTCAGGTCATTAGCTTTGTATGTATTTCTTTGCTGGGCTCACTTGGCATATATCGAAAGAATTTTGGCATCCATTGGTGTCATTCGATATATTCTCAATTTCTCAATCTGACTCATAGAGAGGATATTCAAACAAAGTTTACTGAATCAGGTATCTGATTCTACAACACTACAACTACAACAAAAAATACAGGTTCGTATTTAAAAATTCAAAGATGGGGGTGGGCCAAGTCAGATGACACCCCGTATAAAAGATTCATGGATATATTCTGAGAGCCCACATCAAGTGTCAATAGCAAAATGTGGACTGATTTTTAATATGTCTGCGAATAAAGAAGATATAGGCAAAAAAATAATTTGGGAATTTTTGGTTGTTCCTGTATATCTCCAGAACCAAAAGAGCAGAAAATGAATGAGATGTTGAAATCATTGAAAATACTGAAAATAATCGGACCGAAATATTCAGATGAGTTCAGAAATTATGTCAAGAGGAAAACATTTTGCCAAAATGAATTAGTAATGAGTACTACTCATTCTTATAATACTCGACAAAAAAATCGTACCTAAACAATACGTAACATTAGAAAATTCATATTAGATGATGTGCTCTCTTCTCTGCCACTGTTACAGTAGCAAGTGGTTTATGCCAAAAATATTTCATAAATTATTTTTAATGTTTAATCTTTCAAATTGTGTTTCAATTAAGTGTATTTCATATTGGTAACTATGTCCTTGTTCACTACAAAGCTTTTTCTGACTTGTGTGAACACTGAAGTGTTTAGCATCAATACGTTTTTTTTTCATGAATCTTTCATATCTAGTGAGTACACATACATTCTCAATTACTTTTTTCACTATTTTTAAAGTATTAGTTGAAATAATGTAGGTCTGGTGGCTCTCAAATCCTACTCTCATAACAGATTTGAAGAATGTCTCTTTTGTATATTTCAGATGTTCTTTCTTCTAATGCAAAAGGAAGTGCTGTCCTACTGAACTGTGTACGATCCTTCTTAAAATTCACTGAACAAGATTGCGTGAAATTGAACCAAGTACAAAGACTAGAAGAATGGAGTTGTTTGATAGATATTCTGAGGGACATGACTTTCCAGAAATCTAGATTTAGGACTTGTACTAAAGATAAAACCACTGCGATACCTCATCCGTTGAATTCTTCTGTAAGAAAAAAAATTGATTTTACAAGTTGTGAAAATGAAATTGAAGTAAAGAAGAATGATGAAGATATACCGAATATTCCAAGTACAAGTTCTGGCAAATCTAAATCAAAGAAGAAAAAAAAGAAACGAGAGAATAAAACGGAACCTAAAAGCACAGTCCCAGAAGAAAAAAAAGATAAAATCCAGGCTCTTAAACAAATTCAGGAACTTTGTGAAATGTTGCAAGGTACCAAGTCTGTTGAAATTGTGGATTGCTCAGATGAGAATGAAACTACATATGAAGTTTCCAAAGAACTAGAAGCAGATCAAAACGATATAAATGAGACTGAAATAGATGTAGCGATTAATGAACCTGGAAATGATAAAAACTGTGATATAGATAAAAATAATAATAGTGATGAAAGCATACATGAAAACCAGAACAAATCTATTCCGGGAATTGAATCCAATAAGGGAATAAGGGTTAGGAAAGATTTGAAAGAAGAAAATAGTTTAGATTCCAAAAACCATCAAAACTTTTTTCGGAAGTCTAATGAAAATTCCATGAAATTGAGTGATAATGAGAATTTGAGTGACATTAACTTTGTTTCCGAATTTGTAGATAGTGAAGAGCCTTTCCCTGATAAAACTTTTGTAAAAAAATCTCCCGAAAACAAGTTTTACTTAAAAAGCGACGACGAGACTGAAATGAGTATTGATAAAAACTGTGATAATATTAATAATGTACTAGGATTAACGAATAATGTAGAAAATAAGGAAAAACCTCCTGATTCCCAAGGTGTTGACTTTGAAGTAAACCCAGTAACTAACGAAATGCTGTCTACCATTTTTGGTACAAAAAAATTATTAAGAATCTTGCAAAATAAAAGGGTCAAGGCAGTCAAACCGGATGCTTTCATAGTCGAACCCATTGATTCCCTAGTTAAAATGATCCAGAAGAAAAATAAGTTAATCCCTCCTAATTATTATGGCCATACTTACGAATTTTTCAATACAACATTGGCATTTTCTACACTGGGTAATAATAGTGGGTTGCTCTTGGTTTCTAAGGATTGATTCATAAATAATATACATTTTGTGATTTGTAAAAGTTTGTGAAGAAAAATCTGGTAACCTTCGAACAAATTGAAGAAAAATTTTTGTCTGTTTATTGTTCTATGTTTCAAAATTGACTCAAGATTATAGAAATCTGTAACTTACGCAAGATTTCATCATATATTGGACTTTGTTACTTATGAAACTGTGTTTTTAATGCCATTTAAGCATGGTGATTGATTTATAACATGAACGATAAGAGCAGGGGGCAATCAACCTGGAAAACTTGGAATGTGTATTGAAAGTTTGAAACCGAGAGTTTTGTATTATCAGATTGTTCACCTTATTCTGTTTCTCAACATTTCACCCAACAAGTTGGCATCTTTAGGAGTACATTCTCCTTTTTTTATCTGCTTGAGATTGTATCCCTGAGGTTGACGCATAATTGTTTCCAGCTAGACAGAACATTGCTGATAAAACTTTAATAATCCATATAAGAAACTATTGCAGCTCCATTCAACCTTTTGAGTTTTCACTGTTCTATTGAATTTTTTTATTTTAATAGAATCAATCCCTTCTCTAGTACCCGGAATGTTAAACTGCTGTAGTTTCTTGAATCTGAGTGTCTTTGAATTTGATAAAACGAGCCTTACTCTTCTGCACATGTTTAGCCTCTGCTGAGTCCTCTGTATGTTCTAGTAGGCAATTTGTTTTATGCTCCACATTGACGTAACTTGTAACAAACATGTATATTACATTGGCATGTAATGTGTCTGTTACATTCATATTCTATATATTGATACATTTATTCACAACATAATTTTCGAATAATCATTTGAAAGTGAGAGTTGCAAAATATTTTGGAATACAAATGAAAACACAAACAAATTAATATTTTATGAGTATAGTAGAAAATACAAATTTGTTATAACAACAGAATAAAGATCAGCTGAAAACAACAAAAGAATTAATTGAGACATGTTTTTTTCGTAAAAGCAAAAACATTTTGCCAAAATGAATTAGTAATGAGTATAAAATCTTGAAAGATATAAGAAAGCTAATTTTTAAAGAAAATCAATTGTTGCGACCATAAATGAAAATATAATAATGAACCCATTTATTAATTTATTTACACGAATCACTACACACTTTCAGCTTCTCATTAGCACTGTTTCAAATATCTAGATCGACTCAAATTCTTGCATATTTTTCATATTTATCGAATATTTGTTATTGGAATTTTTTTCTGTATGTATTATTGGAGAAGTCGATATTTAAAACAAGAATTTACGTGCATTAACGTTCAATCTTCATTTCTTTGGATGTTTTCTTAGTTGAAATAATGTAGGTCTGGTGGCTCTCAAATATATTGGTATAAATATTAACATATCATTTCAGTAAAATTAACTGCTCTACTCCTATTCAGATTTTGATTTTGTATGTACTTAGCTGTTAGATTTTATTATAATAATTGATAGTTTTATCAGAATACTTTATTATGCAGAACATTTCGGGGAATGTTATTGCTACAGGTTTTTTGGTTGAAATTAGGTTTCCCCATGGATTATTGCATTTCTATTCTGTGAAAAGTTATCTACTAATATGACAAACTAACATATTCAAGTACTTGAAGCAATGTTTGTACTTGTTAAACAAGTGTATTGCTAATCATATGAATCTATTTAACTTGTTTCATAAATTGTTGTACTTGTCAAACAAGTATGATGCTAATCAGACCAAAGTTTGTTATTTTGAGCGTTTATTTTTGATTCCAAAACTATTACTGGTATCTGTATACTATTACTGGTATCTGTCAGATACATCTCCAGAAATTCTCGTTTGATAGTTTTTTCACAGATTACATATTTGACAAAAGGTCCCTCTTCAATTTCTGAACAAGTTGAGGTCCAAAACAAGCACCGCTCTCAAACACCAGAAATGCGACAGCCTTGTTTAGCAGTACTTGTTTTGAATTTATTCTACGCCAGTGGTTCCTGTTCAACTTTTCAACTAGTCAAGTGAACATATTCACTTTTTTAAAATGGAAAGTTTCTGGACACATTTTATTATAAAACTCCTGTTATTTATTCAATTGGCATGTTGGAAGGTATAAATTATAAAAGTGCTGTACACATTTAACTTCACTTTAAAAACTTTTCTTGTAAAGAAATTGGGAGGAGGGACATATGGTTATTTTACTACCTTACTGTAAATAATTATTAGGATTCTCAGTTATAAAAACAGTCTGTTAAACAATGATAAATGAAAATATTTTCCTGAGTGCAAATACAGATAATGCTATTTTTGTTTTTCATCTTTTTCCAGTTTAATAATTAAATGAAGATCAGGTTACCAGTTGAATATTATTTGTAAATAGAATCTCTAGGAAATAATTCGACTGCAGCTTACTTTTTCAACTAGTTGTATTGAAATATCATTTAATGATGTTACTAGTTGAAATAAATATTACTCTTTATCGTCGAAAAATAAGTGTTTTTTAAAAACATAGATGGTTTCATCTCTATTATTATGTATAGAAGGGTTAGAATTTCGTTTTGTTTTTCGTCTCAGACTTGAGTGTTTTTTTATTTATACTGTGTTTTTAATAAAAGTTCAAAACAATAACTCTGTTTTTTTCTAAAGACCAACTTCTGTCTAGAAAATATGGTCCAGATGCTAAACCTGTTGCTCTATACAAGGTATAGTGTAAACTCTTTTGAAAGGTGGACTACCACCAGGTAACAAATGTTTCTACAGTATTGATCTTTCAACCAGCCAACTGTAGCTCTCCTCATTCGTTGATTGTTTTTCACAAATATGTGAACTTTTCCTTTATCAATTCAGTACTTCGATGAATTTGTGATCCAACACCAGAAAGCCTGCCCTAAAAAGAACAATCCTTAAAAGTAAGTCCTGGCATCTTTTCCTACAAAAACTTCATCTATGGGATTGACAGAATACTTGTTCCCCGAATATCAAGTATACACGATGCTCCCCAAGGCGTTCAATTGCAAGCACCGAACGAGAATCATCTCTGCAGCTTGGTACCCTTAAGCTCGGTAGGCATTATTATGGTGCCGATACACCGATCCGCATTCTGTCATTCCATTGGCGGTTTATACACAAGGAACACCGACGTAACAGTGTCAATTGTATAGGATATTCATTTACCTTTCGGGTATGATACACTTAGATTAGGTTAGGTCCACAATGAGTGGGTCTATTCGACCCTCCACCGCAACTCGCAAGGGTTTATTGTGGCTCGCAATTATTCACACTCGACCAAATAAACCCAGCTTTTTAACAAAGCCAATTAGTTTGTATGATGAATGGTCTTTCAGGTCAGATGGTAAGAGTACGGCTCTGCCGAACTCTTAAAAACCTGATTCGGTCCCAGTGGGGTAGGCACAAAGTATGTGCTTAGCTGTTTCATCTTTTTCCAAACAGAAGCGACACACACTGTCTTCCGACAGTCCGAGTCTCTGCATATGATGATTCAAATGACAGTGACCTGCAAGAAGGCCTGTAAGACATCGTAGTTCATCCCTACGGTTAGGTTAGATCCAAAGTGAGTGGGTCTATCCTCCACCGCAACCCACAAGGGTTTATTGTGGCTCACACCAATTCACACTCTACCAAATAAACCCAGCTTCTTAACGAAACCGATTAGTTTGTATGGTGAGTGGCAGGCACAAAGTATGTGACCTGTAAGAAGCCCTGTTAGACATCGTAGTTCATCTCTACTGTTTGGTATCAAGCTCCGAAGGGTAAATAAACGCCTTGGAGTGAGCCAATCCTGGAAGATTTTGTCAGAAGTCCATAAATCTTCTTGCTATCCAGGCAATCAATCTTGTTTGGTAAAGCCTAAAGTGATGCCAATAACAGGTTTTGGTCTGATGGAGGCGCTTGCAACATCCTCCTTTGCAAGGGAGTCAGCAGCATAGGATATCATACACTTACTGAGACTTGGCGAATATTTTTATTTTCAATATCCATTGATTTTTTCAACTATAAGGTATTTTCTATAGTTTTCTAGTTATGAAGGGAAATGTGGAAAGAAAACGAAAAATTCATAAAATATATTCACTTCACCATGTAACGAAACAATTTACAATTTTCAAAATCAGTCAATATACTAAGATTGATAGACATCGGACAGAATAATACAAATCGAAAAATATGATATTTATTGATTTCTGTCTTGCCGAAACTTCTCGAAAATTAATCAATATCACATGAGATTTTCAGGTATAAACTATGAGTATTGGCTTACGTTTTCCTCTTCTTGCTATAGATTGCTCTCTACTTTTCCATTCTCATTAGATTCGAAAGCTTTGTTAACATTACCCTCAAACGTCCTTTTCCTTCTCACACTCTTTCTCAGCTTAGTTCCCCCGTCAAAATGTTCGGTAATCTCAAATAGAGATTTTCCCTCTGTTTCTGGCAAAACAAAATGTAATACAACGGTTCCCACAATACCAACACAACCGTAAAACCAAAACACTCCTGGTAACGAGAAAGTGGCTACCATATCTTGGAATAGTTTGTTGGCGAGGAAACCAATGACATAACCCATTCCTGCGGACAAACCGGAAGCGGTAGCTCTAATTTCATTGCTGAAAAGCTCTCCGATGAGGATCCAGGGTAGGATTTTTATACCGAGGTAAGTGAAGAAAGCGGAACCAACAAGGAACGTGACTGATATCCATCGATGTGGATATTCGTCAGTAGTCGCATTGACTACCACAGGCTCCGTCATATAATTAATATTGTTTAAATGTGCGTAGGTTCCAACTATCAAGAAGCAGATCCCTGATGCAAATAGAGAAATAAAGTTAATAACCCTCTTCCCAAGGAAACTGATTAGTGTGACGCTTAGTATACACCCAAGAAGTTGCACCAGTCCCATCAGCACTGTTGAATAATACTCGCTTAGTGGGGCTCTCATTGCTTTGAATATTTTGATTGCATAAGCCTGGAATGGGGTATTTCCATTGAAGTGTCCCAGAAAGAAGCCCAGCATTATCAAGAGGTAAGGTCGAATAAAGTTGCGTTTCGCGAAAAGTTTCACAGTTTGAAGTTTTTTCGCAAGACTGTTCTTTGTGCAGACATTCTCCTTTGTCTTCATGTTGTGCTTGTAGAGCTCTTGGAACTCATTTTCGATATTGTCAATGGTTGTCCATCCCCTTAGCCATGCTATACTCCTTTTAGCTTCATCATATCTGTTTTTTGTAATGAGCCAAACAGGCGTTTCAGGTATGAACATGAGCGACATGAAAGATATAATTGGGATAGCGCAGTTTATGAATGTTACTGTTCTCCATGAAAAGAATGTACCTAGAATGAACTGGCTTAAGATTCCTATCACAACAGACATCGTGCTTGTCGTAGAGAGCATTCCACGTAAGTGAGGCTGGGTTATCTCTGCGACGTATGTGAGAACCTGAAAATGAACAAACAGAAGCTATAATAATAATAGCTAATATGAGTGTT